CCCCCCCCCCCCCCCCCCCGCAAATTCACTCTCCATGCTTTCCTGTGACTCTGTGCCCCGGGGAAATAGAAATTTGGACTGTGTCAACTGGATGTCCTTGCTCTCTGGCTTTGATTTGGGACTGGACAGTAGTAACTCTGGTATAAAACTGAGGAGGAGGAAGACAGTGAGGCCAGGGTGTCTGTCCCGCTCCTCCCCGCCCTTTGCAGAAGGAACCTGTAACCACAGGCTGCTTCTCTCCCTTGACTGTAAGTTTCAGCCGCTTTCAGGCCGCCCTGTCTGTGTCTCCCCTTGTCCCTCCAGGCCTGGAAGTCAGAGGGGAGCAGGAGAGGCTGGGGTAATGATTCCCTTCGCAGTTCCCACCAGGTGGGCTTCCTCAGGGGGCGGTCTCTGCTCCTCCTGCTGCCTTAGGTGTAGGGGTGGGATTGGTTCCCTGCTGTGGCCAAGCCTGTGGTATGGTCCCTCTCCTTGTCCATCTCTACCTTGTTAAACTCGACCTACGGCTTTGTAAATAGTCCTTTTATTTCGACTCTCAGTGACTCCATTTGAGCTCGTCATTCTTGTCTACCGGGACTCTCAGGTTTATTCACCTGTGAAATGGGAAAGTTGACCAAGTGGAGTTTCTGATAAATCAACATTTCTAGTGTGGTTACTACTGGTCACTTTTGAAATTAGTGACTGATTCTGACAAAACTTGTTGCAATCTGAGTTATGTAAAGATAAACTTCCTGCTCGATTTGCAGTTCTGTGTGCCTGTCCTGTTATCTGATAATGTTTGGGCTATGGGCATCTCATGTAACTTTTAAACCATTTTGATAAAAATTTTGTCCTGGGATTGAGGATAGGGTTGTTTTTGTGAACGAGGTGTCTAGATTCCTGAGGTTTGGTACATACGTTAGAATTGAAATAAAGAGGGAAGCCTTCTCCCCTTAATTCTGTGGGTATTTTCCGTTAGGTCCTCTTACATTGAGCCAAAATCCACTCCTACCTCTCTTCTCCTGATGCCACCTTTGTGCATGAAGAACCAGCCAAAATAAACCCGCACAGAGAGAAACAGAACAACAGAGGTTTGGGCTGACCTCCAAATCTTGTGCAGATTTCAGTGGTGAACCGAAGCTTGTTTGATCAAATAAGCTTGAGAAGAGCTCTCACAGGATCACAGAGGCTCAGGGTTAGGATGGATCTTAGAAGTCATCAGTTCCCTCCCCCATCAGATTGGTCATTGCCAGGCAGAGAATCTTCTCCAAGTCTTCCAAACCCTGCTCAAACAGCTAGAAGGATAGAGAACCAGAGCTGGGGAGTGAGTAGATCTTTAAAAAGATGGTCTGTTTGATCTTGGCTGGATTTAAGACATTGTTTTTGACAAAGAGCTTTTTAAGTTTTTAATAGAAAATATGGGGTTTAGTTTAGCTCTATGACCTCTTTTCCACCTCTGCCACCACCCAGGTTTGTGACCCTTCCTGGGGCTCGTGTTCCTAAATGGGACACTTTAGGAGCTGTCTTGAATGCCATAGTGAATCTCTTTCATTTGCTGTGCAGCACTGCAAGCTTTTCAGAATGCCATGGGGTACTTTGCACTTGTGGGTTAGACCAAGCTTATGGTAGGATCTTCATTTTTCTGACAGGGATAGAAGTATGACCTACTGGTAATACCAAGAGAATCTGATTTGCTCCTTTGGTAACTGGAATAGTGATTCCACTATGAGTAGTGCGCTGGCCCTGTCCACGTTGCCCCTGTGCCCGGGCACACTGGCATCATCAAGTGGATTTCAGGAACACCACCATATGCACCTCTTTAGCCTTCGCAGTGGTTGGGCAGAGAGTTGGTCACCTCTGTCTGTGAACTTTACCTGATTGCACTGTACAAATATGATCGTTGTCCCCTGTGTACCAGGATGAGATAAAGATTAGGATGTATTATTCTCTTGCCCCCCCCTTCCTCCTGCCCTCTCTCTCTCCAGACTGCTCTCTGCATATTGCTGACGCTCACATCGTCATCACTGCTGATGTGTTCTGTTTCCTTGTGGTTTATAGATGGTCACGATGCAGTCCTGAGGTTTAATGGGGCACCCACAGTCAACTTCCAACAAGATGTGGGCACGAGAACCACCATTCGCCTGATGAACTCTCAGGTAAAATTTCTTCTGTGCAGAAGTATAGTGAGAGAAGTTTCCTTCCTAACACAGTCATGGACGGTGCTTTGTAGAGTGCAGTGGTCAGTACAGAGACTCTGCAGTTAGCTTGCCTGCCATCTAAACCAGCTTTGCCTCTCTTAGCTAAGAGATCATGCCTAAGTTACTCATGCCTCTGTTTACTCATCTGTAAAGAGGGGAGAATAACAGTACCTTCCTCACAGGGCTGTTGTGAGGAATACACGAGAAAATCCATGGGCTCTGAAGTAGAATGTATTTACTAGGAGCACATCAAAGCCACCGGCTTAATTAAGTCCCTTGCCCTTCCTGCGTCCCGGATTCCTCACGGAGAAAGAGAAGACAGTGATTCCATGATCCAGCCTGGTACTGTGGTCATGGGAAAGCCCCTGTGGCGTTAGTCTGCATTACTGGAGGTGTCCAGTGTCCAGAGAAAGCCGAGTTCTGCTGTCCCTGTGGCCGCAGGTCACATCCAGAGTGTTGCCCAAGGGACAACAGGGGATATCCAGGGAGAGAGAGGACTGTCGTGAAAAGTAAATAAAGCAATGAACGTGGGTGTGCTTTGTATGCTGTAAAACCTTATCCAAGTATTATAAGACAGCATCACAGTGTAGTTTATGTGTAATACAGCATTACAGTCCAGGTATCACCTCATGAATCCCCCTAGACTGTTCATTTCCTGAGGTATTTCCAGGTAGCATATGCTGATTTCTCTATGCTAACGGGAACTTGAGAAGTAATCTTGCCACAGAGTTCTGCTAATGGATTGAATTAGTGGAAAAAACTGGATTGCACATATATAAAAAATAGCATGATAGGGCTATAAACCCATTCACCTTGCTCCCGACCACCAATGTTTGTCTTTTTTCTGAGTATACGTGTAAGCCTTGGGGGATTCTATGTCAGTGTTTAGACTCTGTACACTTTCTAGGGCTCGTAGGTGTGGATTGGGTCCTGGAAGTGACCTAAGTGCCCTTTCAGCACTGTCCCAGCGGAATATGCATTTCTCCTCCCCTCTGCCAGGCCTCCACTTCCCTGTTTCTCTCAGCAGTCTCTTCACTGCCTGACCTTCAGGAACTCACCACCTGGGCAGAAGCTGCTTCCTGCATGGCCTGCTTTCCATCTGAGGCCCACAGTCCTAGGAACCTTTTTATGAGGGGACTTAACTCCTTTGCAAGAGGCCACCATCTTGTTTTCGATTCTTCTTCTAATCTTCTATTATTATTTGAATGATGACGATGATGTTGTCACTTTCTAACACCGTAACATCCTCCAGCGGCCTCTCTGTGCTTCTAATACCTGTTTGTGTTCAACCTTATGTTTGGGGTTTTTTACATTGCTTTTATGATAAGCTATAAGAGGGCAGGTTAAAAGAAATGGATTGGCCGGCAAGAGAGTCTCTGGAGCAAGTGGCACTTGAGCTAGACTTTGAGAGATGGGCAGGATCTAGAGAAACAGTACTAGGAAGGCCTCCAAACAGTGGGATTGGCAGGACAGAGCTGCACAGGAGAGGAGGGGGCACTCAAACAGCCCTGGCAGGGTGGGGATGGGGTCTGGATTCGTGTTGCACCACAGAGGGAGGTGAGGCTGGAGCCACGTGGCTGCTCAGACTCTGGCAAGTCTAGAAGATCAGGCAGAGGGGTTGGGATGAGCTTTCCCTTCTTCCTCCTGTCCCTTCTTGTGCCGCAGTCACAGAAACCTGGAGCTGGAGGGCTCCCCAGGGAATGCTAATGCCTAACTTCTGCTTCTGTATAAGATGGTACCTAAATACCCAGGAGAAAGGTTTACTTACCCTTGCTTCCTAACACAAACAGGGACGGTGCTGCGCGGAGCGCAGTGGTGAGGACAGAGACTGCAGCTAGCCTGACTGCTGTCGAAACCAGCTCTGCCTCTCTCAGCTAAACGATCACGCCTAAGCTCCTTATGCCTCTGTAAAGAGGGGAGAGGGGAGAATAACAGTACCTCCTCACGGGGTTGCTGTGAGGAATAAGTGAGAAGATCCACGCAAAGCATTTAGCGGCCGGCACTTATGCATAAGTGTTACCTGCTCTGATATTTATGTGTGTGGAACTGAGGTGGGTGTGGGGGGTACGTTGGTGAGCGAAACAGACTCAGCCCTGTTCTCGTGACACCATCCAGTAGTCATACAAACAAATATAAAGTTACAACAGACAGCTACAAAGGAGAGGGTTAAGGTGCTACCAGAGCCCATAAAGGGGAAGCTTCCCTAGGCAGGGAAGTCAGGAAGCAGTGAGGAGGTGATTCTTCACCGCGCCCGAGGGGTAGGGGTAGACAGCGGGAAGCGGGAGAGGAGGCAGCAGCGTGGGTGAGGCCTGTGTGGAAGGGAGCTGGGACGCACCAGGACCCGGGAAGAGGTGAGTCTGGGTGGTGGGGATGTAGAGAGGGACGAGGCTGAGGGTGAGGGGGAGCCAGGCCATGGTGCTTGTTTTCTTCTCTGAGGCATAGCCAGACTTGCATTTTGTAAACCCCTCTGGCTTCCACCTGATCAGTGCGGTGGGTGCGGTGGATGGACAGACACACTTAGGGGGCTCTTGCAATCGTGCGGACTAGCAATGCTGGCAGTTGCACCAGAGTGGAAATGAAGGGGACTGTGAGGAAAGAATGGATTTGAGAGCTACTCAGGGTGTGCAGCCACCAGGCTCTAGTGTGTGGTTGGGCGTGAGAGGTGAAGGGAGGGCCACAGGTGCGCCTGGGTTTCTGGCTTGTGTAACTGGACAGCTAGTCACTGAGACGGGAAGGAGTACTGGCAGATGTTTTGGGTTGTGAGGGGCGGGTAGGGTCAGAGAGGGGGGGCAGGGATCAAAAACGTGGTTTTGGGCTTCCCTGGTGGCGCAGTGGTTGAGAGTCCGCCTGCCAATGCAGGGGACACGGGTTCGTGCCCCGGTCCAGGAAGACCCCACATGCCGCGGAGCGGCTGGGCCCGTGAGCCATGGCCGCTGAGCCTGCGCGTCCGGAGCCTGTGCTCCGCAACGGGAGAGGCCACAACAGTGAGAGGCCCGCGTACCGCAAAAAAAAAAAAAAAAAAAAAAGTCAATGGGAAGACAGTCACAAAAGGACAATCACTATGATTCCACTTAGATGAGGTCCCTGGAGTGGTCAAGCTCCTAGAGACAGGAAGTAGAATGGTGTTTACCAGCGCCTGAGAGGAAAGAGGAATAGTTGTTTAATGGATCTAGAGTTTCAGTTTCAGAAGAAGATGAAAGAGTTCTAGAGATGGATGGTGGTGATGGTTGTATAACAGCATGAATGTACTTAATGCCACTGAACTGTACACTCAGAAGTGGTTACAAGAGTGCATTTTATGTTAGACATATTTTGTCACACACACACAAATTTAAGTCAACGAGGAGAAAACCAGTTGATAGAGAAACTGATTATACTTAAAAGAGGAGATAATTAAGTCAGTGGTGGGAGTGGTGCATCCAAAGCCTAGTGGAGGACTAACCCCAGCAGGAGGGCTCAGAAGGGAAGAAGGATGCAGGGGAATAGCTGGAGGCCGTCTCTAGTGGGAGGATGAAGGGGCTTCGATTTTCTCTGCAAAGTAGGGTACAGAGAAAAGGACGCTTTTCGTAGGGAGGCTGAGGGGAAGAGAGGCTTCAGTAGAGGAGGTTTGAGCCAACAAGGTTTGAAATTTGTCACTGAGGAAAGAGTAAACCAGAGGAATGGAGTAGGGTCTCCAGGCCATGCTATAGCCACTTTGAGGTTGGGGAGCGTGGATTCAGAGAGAAATCCAGCTCTGTTTGCTCAGGGGTGGTATGATCTGCAGATCAGTAGGAAGCTGCAAGCAAGAGAGGGAGCGCGGAGGATGCCTGAAAATTCTCTTGGACTCGGGAGGCTACTCCCTTCTCGGGCATCTCTTCCAGGTTTTTAGTGAAGAACTAACCCTCAATCCTCAAAGATAATTCTGAAACTTTAATTTCTAGCAATTGCTCTCCTGGGTATATATCCAAAGAAAACAAAAACAATGCTGAGCAAAGACACATGCATCCCAATGTTCACTGCAGTACCATTTACAATAGCCAAGACACGGAAGAAACCTAAGTGTCCATCAACAGATGAATGGATAAAGAAGATGTGGTACATGTATACAATGGAATATTACTCAGCCGTAAAAAAAAAAAAAAGAATGAAATTTTTCCATTTGCAACAACATGGATGGACTTGGTTGGTATTATGCTAAGTGAAATAAGTCAGAGAAAGATAAATATTGTATGATATCACTTATATGTGGAATCTAAAAAATAAAACAAACTAGTGAATGTAACAACAACAAAAACAGACTCACAGATACAAAGAACAAACTAGTGGTTACCAATGGGGAGGGGCAAGATAGGGGCAGGGGATTAAGGGGTAGAAAACTACTAGGTACAAAATAAAAAGCTACAAGGATATATTGTACAGCACAGGGAATATATTTTATAATAACTTTAAGTGGAGTATAACCTTTAAACATAGTCACTATATTGTGACTGAAACCTATAAAAATGTTCACCAACTATACCTCAATGAAAGAAAATAAAGCCAAGGTAAGGTTGCCTGGGAATTAAGAGACAGACCTTGATCAGATTTCTCCCTCAGTACTTAACTGCATGAGTGACTTGAGCAAGTTGCCTTATCTTTCTGAGCCTCAGTTCCCTTATTTGTAAAGGGAAATAAGGGAAGTTACCCTGCTGGGTCTTTGTAGGATCCATTGAGATTACTGAGTGTGGAGCATGTCACTCAGAGGCCCTCATGCTGAAGCAAAGGCTCTGTAAAGGGTGGCTGTTGTCACTAGTGCAGCGTGAAGGCCTGCCTGTGTCTGCTGGGCAGTCACTGTGCCCTCCCATTTCCCAGGCAAGTGGGCATCTTGGCTCCCAGCAGGGATGTCAGCCAGCTTGGGGACGCTTCAGAGGTGCCCAGCAGAAGGGAGAAAATTAAAGGATAATTTTCAGGAAAAAGTAAGCTCATGACTATCATACAGA